TAGGTCCTACATAATTATACTTAGAGCTTGAACACTTGTGAAATGTCCCTCAATAGCTACCCAAATCAAAAGAAACGCATGATTGTAGGTTGGCAAGGAAAATAGAACTGAAAGAAAACAAGAAGAAAACTAAAGACAATTCTGATGGTGAAAGAGAGAAAACATGGTGCATGAAGGAGGATGAGCTACATTTCAGTCAAGTATATTGGCCGAGCAAAGTGGCAACGTGGTGGGCCCCATAGGTTCATCCATCAATCATCTACAGAACTGCCACTTTTAGACAAAAACAATGACTGAACCATGCAAAAAGTTAGCATGGGCTCTTTTCCGGTGAAGCATATTGACCGAACAAAATTGTAAAAAAGCTAAACCTTCATCAGCTTCCATCAAAACAGCACCAGCCCTGTTTTTTTATCATTCTTACTGACCAAAATTTGGTCAAAACCTGCAGAAATCAACTAGCAAATGTTAAATCACTGCAAGTTGATATTTCGGTCATAATTTTTGATTGAAATTTATGTATTTTATTGGATAAAAATATACCAAATTTTTTTAATATTGTTTTGATCAGTATGCTTGACCGAATAGAATATGATGCCAATTCCTGTCTCCATATTTTGACCGAATTAATGGTTCAACATGTTTTAAAATGGACAGATTGTTCATTTGGTAAGTGAATATGTCCGAAATAGTGATTTTATTGATCAAGGTTTTTGCTTGATTGAAATCATTAGTTCGAAGTAAAGACTTTTCTAGTACTGAATTAAATAATTATGCTGTTTAGTAGCAAATAAAATAAGTACAAAAAAAGGGATTAAATTCTACTAATTCTGATTCTTAAGGAATGATCTTTCAACCTTAAATGAGGAGATTTGAAAATTTAAAAACAAATTTTCTTCCTCCTTTGCTCCCTTCTTGCCATTTTGGAAATTTAGAAAAAAGAGTCATAGAATGCACAAAATTTTAAATAGCATGTATACCCAAAATAGATATCAAATGGGCAAACATTATGTTTTAGTGAAAATCAAGAATGATTAAACTTTTGGAGTAGACACAGTAAGGGGTGAAAGAGCAGTGGATATTTCTGAAAACAAAGGAGTGTTGAAGATCTAGCATCGAGATGTTTAACATATATATTTAAATGTCTAAAATTCAAATGAAAAATAATAAGTATGAAAAAAGGTGAAAGATGATAGACATAAATAATTATTAGCTAGGTTTGGATTTTGAAAGGATTGAAAACTAGGAGTTTTGAGTCTTTGAAATCCCTTGAAATTCTCTTCGGATCGTCATCCTATCTTTC